TTGATGGCTCATTTTCTCGGCATTGAAGTGACACAAAGAAAAGATGGAATTTGTATTTCCAAAAGTGGCTATGCCAAGGAAATTCTCAAGAGATATGGAATGGAAAATTGCAATCCAGTGAACACTCCTGTAGACAGTGGAGTGGAGCTCAAAAAAGGTACAAAAGCAGGTGATGTGGATCCAACTTATTTCAAGAGCCTAGTTGGAAGTCTTCGCTATCTTACTTGCACCAGGCCAGACATACTCTATGGAGTAGGGCTGATTAGCAGATATATAAAAACGCTGGATCAGTCATGCCTTTATGCAGCAAAGAGAATTCTTCGCTACATCAAAGGTACAATCGATGATGGTTTATTCTATAAACCAACTGATAATTTCAGTCTTGTTGGTTATTCAGATAGTGACTGGAGACGTGACTTAGATGAGCGAAAGAGTACTACTGGGTTTGCTTTCTTTATGGGAAATATTGTGTTCACGTAGTCGTCCAAGAAGCAAGCTATTGTGAGGCTATCAACTTGCGAAGCTGAGTATGTTGCCGCCAACTCAGCTGTGTGTTATGCAATTTGGTTAAGAAATGTGCTGAAGCATATAGGATTTCCACAAGAAAATCCTACTGAGATCTATGTTGATAATCGCTCAGCAATTGCATTAGTAAAGAACCTAGTTTATCATGAAAGAAGTAAGCATATTAACACCCGCTATCATTTCATCCGAGAGCGTGTGAAAAATAAAGAGGTGGAATTATTTCCTTGCAAATCTCAAGATCAGCTTGCAGATATTTTCACGAAGCCATTAAAAAATGATATGTTCAACAGAATGAAGTTGATACTTGGGATGAAACAGCATGGAGAATCAAGCTTAAGGGGGGATGTTGGAACATAAGCTTGATAGCCACCACCCTAGACAGCCACCCTAGCCACCGAAAGCCACCCTAGCCGCCGAAAAAATCTGTGATCAAAGATTTGCTGAAGCATGGAAAGTGAAGATTTGTAGGCTTAGGATCAAAATAAGATTGTATTGTTATGCCTTTACATTATTAGTTTTACCTATAAATAACTATTGTATTATGGGAGTTCAGCATGTGGGAGAGAAGAAAAGAGTGCAAGAGTTAGAGAGACAGAGAGTGTGTTTCTCCTCGTTCTATAATTTTCTCAAGAAAAGTCTAGTTGTTTGTCTCTAAATTTATCTCTCTGAATTTTATGTCAAGTTACCATAAGTAGTTTGAAGCCTCTCTTCCACCAACAAATTAAATCTTAATATTTTGATTTATTTTCAATGTAAACCATTTACCCATTTTCGTTAGGTAAAACTGACAGGAAAAAAATATTTTAGTCACTGTATTCAATTTAGGTATACAAAAAATATCTAAAATAGATTATTCATCAAATTTATCTTAATAAATAGACAAATGATTTAAATTAAAAATAAATTAAAAGTAATAAATTTAAATTGACAAAATTAAAACTCAAAGTATATTTCAAATTTTGGAATTTTTTTTTTGTAATTGTTCTAAATAAATAACATGTCATTCCACGTAAAACTACAGTTGGTTTTAGTGTTCTTTCTAAAGAATACATGATTAGTATATAAATTGAAAAATATGTTAAAATTGGTTTTTAAAATAGTTCACAATGTCATGTCAGTTTTAATTTTATAACAAAAGCAGGAGTAAATAAGGTTATTTTTGTTCAAATTTAGACAGCTTAGATGGATAATTGGATGGAAACAACATTAGTGATCAAGCATCAAAATAATTCAACTAAAATATCAAGTATCAAAATAAAACAGAACGCGCATTTTGGGAGACCAACAATTTATTAAACTCAAAATTGTGTAAAACATTATCTAGTTGAATTGAAGCCAGTGTCAATTTAAATAAATAACCATTAAGATAGATTTCATTTAAATAAATAACCATTTAGATAGATTTCAATTATAATAATAATAAGTTTTTAAAAAAATCATCACCATATAAATATGAATGAGCTAAAAAAACAAAATTGCCATTTTGAAATAATGTAAGTTCACGTGAATGTGTGGTCGAGGAGTTATACTTTTCGAGCATAAAAGTTAGCATATGTGTATATTTTAATAAGTGAATTTATTGTCTAATAAGTTTTATGAAAAAAATTTGTCATAAAAAAAAGTTATTAATTGTAAATTTTAGAGATAATTTATAAAAATCATCAAAAAAAAGTCACTAATTGTCAATTTTTAGCGACATATATAAAAAATTGTCACAAAAAAATTATTTTTATCGAAATTTTAACAAAGCTTATTTTCAATAGGACTTGATGGAAAGTAAGGCCTCGTTTGGGAACAGACTAATTTAGTAACTTTTTGACTATTTGACTAAAATATGAGTTAAAAAAAACTAGTATGTTTGAGATGACATTTTGACTTTTTACGAAAATATATGCAAAAAGTAGAGAGAAATTTTTTTTTTTGGCTTTATTTCGGAAGTGAGTTGGCTTTTTGGCTTTTTGATTTTTTTAGTTATTTTAGCCTAAGCTAAAAAGCTTGATTTGGGAAGGACTTTTTGGCTTTTTGACTTTCATGGCTTTTTTTATGATAGAAGAATGTAATGATTATGGGTGGGTTGGCTTTTTAACTTTTTGACTTTTTTGACTATTTTAGCCTGGGCTAAAAAGCTTGGTTTGAGAAGGACTTTTTGACTTTTTGGACTTTTTTGTGAGAGAATAGTGTAATGATTATGGATTGAGTGTAATGTTTTGTTTATTATGGTTAAAATAGCCTATTTTGTCTTTTGTGGCTAAAATAGCCAAAAAAACTCCCAAACCATCTTCTCAAACGGTGCATTTGACTTTTTGGTATGAGTTGTTGGCTTTTTGATTTTTTTAGTTACTTTTTGACTTTTTGGCTAAAAAAGTCACTTGCCAAACGAGGCTTAAGTCTAACTATTAGGACTTATTGGTAGTTTATCCTTAAATTTAGAGCATAGTTTTTGTCCAATTCATTTTGGAATTGAACAGTGTTGTTTGGCCTTGGTGGGCCCGATGCCAGACTCATATTGATAATTTAAATCGTTCAATATATAGAGCTCATCAAATATATAATGTTTGCAAACAATTACGTTAATTGAATATCGATAACCACTTGATTCAATTACATTTGTATCTGCAATTTATTTTTAAAATTATAGTTACCGTTGAAATAAATGTAAACTCACCAAATAGCTATCGATATCCAATTAATGTGATTTTTTATAAAAATAATGTACTTGACCTGCTTTATACATTGAACAATTTTAATCATCGAGATTGACCTAGAGTTGGGTCCACCACAACCCAACGGTATTGTCCAGTCTGATTGTAGATTTGGAGAGAAGCTATAGCCTAAAATTTAATTACCAAATAACAATATGCGGAGTATCAAATAGACATTGAGTAATGTTAGGAATTTCAAATAATTTATTAAATTTTCTACCAAACCTCTCACATAGGTGTGGCCACATACATGTGGGTTTGTGTGAGTCTCATACCCGTGTGAGAGATTTGACAAAAAATTTGATCGATTATTTGAGATTTATAGCATTTTTTTTATAAACATTTGGTTACATCTTCAACAATTCTTGGTTGAGAAATTACCTTGTACCTGAGATATGAGTCCTAATAAGACACCTAAACACATTTTTATCTGATTTTCATACTACTAAAAGTAAAAGTAATGAAAACTCCCCAAATAAAAAATAAAACAATTATTAGAAATAAAAGTAATGAAAACTCACCAAATAAAAAATAAATAAAACAATTATCTTGGTATTTAATGCTAAGAAAATCTGTTAAAAATCAATGAACATGTATATATAACAATTTTCGGAGAGATTGTTCGGTGAACTTAGTGTAACACTCCACGCCATTCACTTAAGTCTCGTTTGGGAATAGATTAATTCAGTAATATTTTGGTTATTTGACTAAAATATGAGCTAAAAAAAAACTAATATGTTTGGGATGACTATTTGTCTTTTTACAAAAAGATGGACAAAAAGTAGAGAGAAACAAGAATGTTTGATTTTTTGGTATGGGTTGTTAGCTTTTTGATTTTTTTTAGTGACTTTTTAACTTTTTGGCTAAAAATGTCACTTGTCAAACGAGGCCTAAATGTCTTGTGGACCCTTCACTTTTGTGGACTCTACACCCATATAAAATATTTAATCATTTATTTAGTAAAAAATTTAGTACCTCTCCAGCATTACCGTAGGAATTTTCCATTTATAATTAGAGAGAGAAAATGATAATCACAAATAGTTAAAGGGGTATTGTGTAATTAACCCAATAAAAGTTAAAGAGACTAGGCCTCGTTTGGGAAGCGTCCCATTTACTTAAAAAGTCAAAAAGTTGCTGAAAAAGTCAAAAAGCCAACAACCCATATCAAAAAGTCAAAGATTCTCTTTTCTCTCTATTTTTTACACATCTTTTCGTAAAAAGTCAAAAAGTCATCACAAATATACTAATTTTTTTTAATTCATATTTTAGCCAAATAGTTAAAAAATAACTAAATTAATCTGTTCCCAAACGAGGCCTTATAAACACATATCCTAATGTCACTTTAAAAACAATATAAAGTGGTGGGTTTTTACCAATAAAAACCAGGTTGAAACACCACATCATCTTACTAATAAATATCTTGGGTATGAATTACACTTTTAACTCTTGTATTTAAATCCAAATTTCATCTTGGTACTTGCATTTTAAGTCTAATTTCAATTTAGTTCTTCCATTCAAGTTGGAGGTTAAAATGAACAATTTTGTAATACTTGTCAATCTCTTGAGTGCACATGTAGAAAAAATCAAAAAAACGATCAAATTAAAACTAGACTTAGAATGCAAAGACTAAATTGTTCAAATTGAAAAATAAACTGAACCAAAATTTGAGTATAAAAACAAAAAGCATAATTTACCCATAATTTTTCCGTTTTCCCTCTCATATAGCAAAATCTTGCATGAACCAAAATGAAAAGATAACGTGAAGTTGTTTACCGCTTTGCTCAAATAAGGAATGATGTTGAAGCCTCGGTTTTTCAGTGTCCAATACCCTATTTCATTGACGGTATTGAATAGAGCAAGCAGGCATGTCCTTATATTGTGTGGAATGCTTGTAATGATTTTTTGACTTTTTACGAAAAGATATGCAAAAAATAGAGAAAAAAGACAATCTTTGACTTTTTGATATGGGTTGTTGGTTTTTTGACTTTTTCAGCAACTTTTTGACTTTTTGACTAAATGAGACGCTTCCCAAACAAGGCCTTATTTATATTATAATCTGAAAGTAGTCTTTGAACAAACCTGTCAACAAAGTCCGTGAAGAGCTCTATTTCATGCAGTGCACCATAGACATCATAAATGTCATCGATTGTTGTTATTAAACTAATAATCTTAGTCCCCATGTCTCTAAAAGCTCCAAATTTTGGCTCAAACACCATTCCAGAGCACCAAAGGTAGTGTTCCACCAACCTGTCTCTCGCAAAGCTCATTTTGTCTAAGCCCATGTCCACCCACCACCTGGGGGGAAAAAATTGTAAAACTTCTCTTTAGTTGATGCATTAATAAATACAATATTGGTGATGTTGAATTGTTTATTACTAACTCCTTTAAAAGCTCAACATGTGAAAGAAACAAATAATTAATTTTATTATTTGTATTCTTAACATGTTTTATTGTGTGTCTCCTCAATAAGTGAGTCAAGAATGTACAACTATTGCAATTATATGGAGGTGGGGAGAATCAAACACAAATGTATTGTCTACTTTGATACCTTATTGAATTGTTAACTACCAAATCATTTTAAAATTTATTTATTTATATTTTCAATAAAAAAAAAAAAACAAAAAAGCACCGAAATTTTTCATATAAAAATTAAATTAAATGCAGTACTGACAACATCACACTCATCTTGCCAGATTAAATAAAGATTAGAAGTATTTCGTAGAAATTTATCACACTATAAATCTAATAAGTTAATTAGAATGGATAATGAACATGGTATAGTTTCCTAATAGTAAGTTTTTGATTTTATTTAAATTGTTTTTGTCTTATTAAGTTATCAACACAAAAGGTACCAAACATTATAACACAAACTGTCCCAAAAAATAAATAAATTAATTAATTAATTAAATAATTAATTAATTAAAAATTAAATATCATAAGTACCCATAACGAAATTTGTGTGTTCAAGACCATGTTTATACCTTGCCAAATTGCCAACCTCCTTTTGATGAACAGACTGCACCATGTTGTAGTCCAATTTAGCAAATTCAAGCAAAATAGGGCTCATATTTTGTTCTTGCTCATATGTCTCTATGAACCATCTAGCCTCAACCCTTGTTAGCCTCCAATGCAAGGGCATATCCAAAGCATGGCCAACTTTTCTAACCATACTCGGTGACATGTCTCCTTTGATATTCTTCAAATTTGCAATTGTGAAGATCTTGGCTTCATCAATGATAGTTTCACCGTCCAACCCGAAGAAAGAAGCTTCATACAAACTCAGCAGCCCTTTCACATCCTCAAAGAGGGATATCTTGAAATTACCGGTCTCATCCTTGAAGCTTTCGAACACATCTGTCTCCAACAAAAGTTTGTAAAAAATAAAATAAAATTCGCAAAATAATTAATTGTTTTTTTTTATTATTCAAATTCGCATGCACTGCACTGAATCATTTTTTTTTTTTTAAAGTTACGTCATTATTGACCAGTAATATTATTATTTAATAATAAATTACCATGTAGGCATAATATTATATATATGTGACGGCTAAAAAATTATCAAATTACATAATAACGTTTAATATCTCATGTCTACTTTTATTATTAATTGATAATGTTGCGTGTTAATAATAATGTAATATCACCATTATAATAAATTTTTATGAATTTGATTTTTTCTATTGTCTAAATAATAGATTTACGTAATTTTAGTTATTAATAGATTCACTTAATATTATTATTAATTGATGATATCATAAATCAACATACAAGAGAGTATACCCAATCATATGCAAGCACCATTCAATATCAAAGTCTGAGATTCCAACCCAAAACAAATGAAAAATTGCTCGCACAAACCAAAGAAGATTAACACCAACTTATACCCAGCAAACAACTCAAACTCAAACTCTAAGCAGTCTAGCAGCCAAATCTAAGACACCAAGACTTATTGTTTTTAGATGTAGAATAAAAAAGATTGATAGTGAGGGGATTATTAATGAGGGAATTAATAGTGAGGGGATTAAGTAATATTATGTTTGTTTTGATAATAGTTGTTAGTGTAACGATTGTTAAATTATTTTATTTAAAATAAATATAAACTAATAAAAAAAATACAAAAACATTAACGTTCAAAAAAAAAAAACCTAACATGTAAAAAATAAAATTAAAAAATTTTCAGAAAAAAAATAAATAAATAAAACAATTATTTTTACTTAACCAAAAATACAAAAAATTAAACATTAATATTCAAAAAAATATATTTGTTTTCATCAAACTAATTCTAATTTTTTGAAAAAAGAAAAACAGAAAATATACCTTAAAAAACTCATCCAAACAAAGAGATTTATATATCATTTGTTCTAAATAAATAAACAAAAAGCAATACATTTGAGGAAAAAACTGTTTATAAATTGTTGGTAACCATTTCGTTTTCAGTTTTCAGTTTATATTTTCAAAAAACTTAAAAACTATCATAAAAACTTGTTTGATAATTTTTTTGGTATATAAATGATTGTTTCAATTTGTAAATTTGAGGAAAAAACGTAAACTCAAAAAATGAGTTTAAGTTGGTTTTTAAACAGAAATTTAAAAATTTGACCAACAAATATTTTTTTTCAATTACCTTTTTTTTGTCAAATTAATTTTTTTTCAATTAATTTTTTTAATTATTTTTTTTTCAATTATAATGTGTATGATCCCATTGTCATAAATAATAAAAAACAAATATAAATATTTTACGCCTGAACAAACATATTTTTAATCATATTATTTAATTTTGATGATGTCTAAAATATATTAGTTAATATACATATTATTTGACACAAATTATTATCTTTTTAAAATATATATATTTGTTAAATATTATTTAAATAAAATAATATTATCTTTTTAAAATATATATGTTAAATATTATTTTAAATATTTTCAAAAACTTTACTATTCATGAAAATAATCATGAAAATTTTGTAACCTTTAAATTACACTTAGAATAAAACACCACACACTAATCAAAGTAATTCAAAGATGATAAATATTTCATGATCATTTTCATAAAAAAAATTTCATGATCCCTGACTTTTTCCAAAGAAAAATATTAGTCTATAGAGTAGAACAAGGCAAACAATTTACATTAATTCCACTCAACGAGTATTAAAAATTCATCGATTTAGATTATCAACATGATCATAAAATGAATCTATCAAGTTCAATCGTTCTCTCAAATTAAAATGGTTAGTTTAAAAGAATTCAAACCCAAATAAATAATTGAGGTGTGAAACGAGCACAGGTACCTTTGGGTACATCACATCCGTGCTGTCTAAGAAGCCTAAATCGGAGGGCTGTTGCATGCAGATCATCAGAACACCATGCGTCGTTGTGTAAGTGTATCAAATCATCAAGCGATTGCTTAATCTCACCCTCAAAATGATACTTTAATCCTAGCCTTTGAACGGCATCGATCAACTCCAGCTTTGCCAACGGGTCCATCACTCCATTTATGAGACCTTTCACTTCATCCTTCATATTATAAGCCTCCCTCATATATTTCTCCTCCTGCATGTTAGAATTTCCCATCTTTACCTTCACCTACTCCACTACACACTCCACTTCACCTACCTCCACTTCACCACACACTCCACTTCACCTAACCCACTATCACCTCCACTACAACCTCCACTACACCTACTACCACATTTTCTTCTATATATAGATTGTATAGGAATTGTAATTTATCAATATTGTAATACATCAATCATAAACTCATCAATCAATAATACATAAATTCTTACACTGCATATCAAATGAAGAGCAAACGTAGACTATAAACATCCATAAATTCATGAAAACATAAGTATATAAACTACATTGATGTCTATGAATTTTGAAAAAATATATATATAGTTTTCACTAAAGATTTGACATAATTATATAAAACTAATCTCTTTTACACTTAAATATATGTTTTATCTTATTTATCATTTGTCTCTTTAAATATTTATATGAAAAATGTTTTGGACTCTTAATAAAATCTCACAATTTCACCCACAATTATGTGAAATGAAAGATATTAACTTTTAATTTGTCACATACTCAATTATGTATGTCTTTACTTTTTACCACACCAGTAGAAATGTATTTGTAGATCTCAAACGTGCATTTCTAACATTACTCTATTTGTATACATATAATTGCATTTGTTCTGGTCTCATTAACCTTGTTAAAAAGATATCAATAACAATAATTGAAATGAACTATATATATATTATAAATTTAAAAAGAAAAAAACTAATTATCTTTAAACTAAGAGATGAATGCATTTTACTTGTAGATTATCAAATTTTATATTAGAATAAATTGCAGAAACAAGCTAAAAAACTAGATAATAAACAATTTTTTCATCATAACTTGTAAGCATAAAGGACAATAAATATTTTTGACACATTTACAATAAACATAAATGAATAAAAAGAAATAAAATAAATAAACTCTAATAAATTGTACCAAACAGATCTAACATATGCAAAATAATAACACGGAAAAGTCATATTAATACGGTGTAATCGCTGCTAAGTGACTGCACAAAATTGTAGTCCCAAAAACTTGGTGGATAATTTGCTGATCGTCGAGTAACTGTATGATCATCAATCGTTATGGTATTGCTCGCACATCGAATGGATTTAGAAGGACAAACGGTGGTAGGGGTTTTGGGTGATTGAAGAGAGGCTAGGAGAATTGGAGAGACAAGAAATGGTGAAAATAGAGCTCGAAGGGCCATTATTATTCCTTAATTTTCTCACAATCTAAATGTTTTTTTCTCTTATCACCTTAGAGACCACCCTCTCTGTGATTTGTGACTTAGAGTTCGCTTTCTATAAATAACCATGCCTTTCTTTCCGATGTTTTTTTTTTCTTTGTTTGATCGGTAAAAAGAAACTTTATTAATGGAATAAATAAGTACAAGGTACAAGGCAAATTACATTAATAAAGAAAAAGAAAGTGTAAAAGCATCCCAATAAGCTAAATGATCCCAACTAAGTTGGCACCACAAAATTCATCCTATCATTTGCTAGTACCCAAAGTTGGTGAGAGGCCAACGAAAAAAATACAGACCAGAGCAACAAGAAAATAGCCACCCAACTCAGACATTCAGCTAATCTTCTGAGACAATACAACCAACCAACCATTGCTAGCACCTAAGCATAGCAGACCAGCAGAATAAGACCTCAGCAGAGCAGCAGACAGGGCCATAAAGACAGACTACAACATCTGATGCAGGACACACCAGAACATCAACAGATAGGAGCTCCCAACTCCAAGCAACCTATCCAAGCTTCACCTGACTCAAAACACCAAAGCCCCTCTCAGGCACAGCCTAATCAAAAACCCTGCCATTTTGTGGAGAGGCTGATTCCGGTGGGTTGAACCAGTGCCATGGCGCTAACTGGATGAGAACTTGTCACCTTTCTTTCCGATGTATCGGGAAAAAAAAATAATAACCATGCCATGTACGCAAATCATTGCAGGATCCACCTGGGCGTACACATGTTTCATGAACTTTGCTTTTGGGTTTGGTAGTCATCATAATTGTTAAAACTGTTTATGATTTAGAAAATTTCTATGGTACATGAAAGCGGTTTCCATGTTCTATACATAAATAAATTTGGACTATTAGATCTAAAAGGAAATAAATCTAACCATTGATTTTTAATGATTAAAATTAGATTAAGAAATCTAGATAGTTTTGTTAAAAACGAGATAGTATTTAATGATTTTGAAGCTAAAAAATGATTTTTCCACTTATCAATATAACTAAGTATACTTACTATTCAATATAATTATACTGTGCTTATTTGTGATATTTTATAAAAGATAAAAAATTAAAAAATTATTAAAAAAATCAAAACGTTATCACTATTCAAAAAAGACAAAAAAAAAAAAAAAAAAAAAAAAATAAGTGATGGTACAAGCTGAAAACAGGACGCATGTTTTAAAAATAATAATAAAAATTATATATATCTTCTCAAGTATGTCTGCCCACCGCACAACTTTCAAGCAATCCGTATATTTTGCCATCAATCGTCACTGTCGGTAGGTACGGGACATAGGGGTAATACAGTTATTTTATTATTTTATATAATATTTTAATATAAATCCCTACACTAACAACTATCATCAAAATAAATACTTCCGGTCGGTTTTGAACACTCGGATGAGTTCCGGTCGGTTTTGAACACTCGGATGAGTTCCGGTCGGTTTTGAACACTCGGATGAGTTCCGGTCGGTTTTGAACACTCGGATGAGTTCCGGTCGGTTTTGAACACTCGGATGAGTTCCGGTCGGTTTTGAACACTCGGATGAGTTCCGGTCGGTTTTGAACACTCGGATGAGTTCCGGTCGGTTTTGAACACTCGGATGAGTTCCGGTCGGTTTTGAACACTCGGATGAGTTCCGGTCGGTTTTGAACACTCGGATGAGTTCCGGTCGGTTTTGAACACTCGGATGAGTTCCGGTCGGTTTTGAACACTCGGATGAGTTCCGGTCGGTTTTGAACACTCGGATGAGTTCCGGTCGGTTTTGAACACTCGGATGAGTTCCGGTCGGTTTTGAACACTCGGATGAGTTCCGGTCGGTTTTGAACACTCGGATGAGTTCCGGTCGGTTTTGAACACTCGGATGAGTTCCGGTCGGTTTTGAACACTCGGATGAGTTCCGGTCGGTTTTGAACACTCGGATGAGTTCCGGTCGGTTTTGAACACTCGGATGAGTTCCGGTCGGTTTTGAACACTCGGATGAGTTCCGGTCGGTTTTGAACACTCGGATGAGTTCCGGTCGGTTTTGAACACTCGGATGAGTTCCGGTCGGTTTTGAACACTCGGATGAGTTCCGGTCGGTTTTGAACACTCGGATGAGTTCCGGTCGGTTTTGAACACTCGGATGAGTTCCGGTCGGTTTTGAACACTCGGATGAGTTCCGGTCGGTTTTGAACACTCGGATGAGTTCCGGTCGGTTTTGAACACTCGGATGAGTTCCGGTCGGTTTTGAACACTCGGATGAGTTCCGGTCGGTTTTGAACACTCGGATGAGTTCCGGTCGGTTTTGAACACTCGGATGAGTTCCGGTCGGTTTTGAACACTCGGATGAGTTCCGGTCGGTTTTGAACACTCGGATGAGTTCCGGTCGGTTTTGAACACTCGGATGAGTTCCGGTCGGTTTTGAACACTCGGATGAGTTCCGGTCGGTTTTGAACACTCGGATGAGTTCCGGTCGGTTTTGAACACTCGGATGAGTTCCGGTCGGTTTTGAACACTCGGATGAGTTCCGGTCGGTTTTGAACACTCGGATGAGTTCCGGTCGGTTTTGAACACTCGGATGAGTTCCGGTCGGTTTTGAACACTCGGATGAGTTCCGGTCGGTTTTGAACACTCGGATGAGTTCCGGTCGGTTTTGAACACTCGGATGAGTTCCGGTCGGTTTTGAACACTCGGATGAGTTCCGGTCGGTTTTGAACACTCGGATGAGTTCCGGTCGGTTTTGAACACTCGGATGAGTTCCGGTCGGTTTTGAACACTCGGATGAGTTCCGGTCGGTTTTGAACACTCGGATGAGTTCCGGTCGGTTTTGAACACTCGGATGAGTTCCGGTCGGTTTTGAACACTCGGATGAGTTCCGGTCGGTTTTGAACACTCGGATGAGTTCCGGTCGGTTTTGAACACTCGGATGAGTTCCGGTCGGTTTTGAACACTCGGATGAGTTCCGGTCGGTTTTGAACACTCGGATGAGTTCCGGTCGGTTTTGAACACTCGGATGAGTTCCGGTCGGTTTTGAACACTCGGATGAGTTCCGGTCGGTTTTGAACACTCGGATGAGTTCCGGTCGGTTTTGAACACTCGGATGAGTTCCGGTCGGTTTTGAACACTCGGATGAGTTCCGGTCGGTTTTGAACACTCGGATGAGTTCCGGTCGGTTTTGAACACTCGGATGAGTTCCGGTCGGTTTTGAACACTCGGATGAGTTCCGGTCGGTTTTGAACACTCGGATGAGTTCCGGTCGGTTTTGAACACTCGGATGAGTTCCGGTCGGTTTTGAACACTCGGATGAGTTCCGGTCGGTTTTGAACACTCGGATGAGTTCCGGTCGGTTTTGAACACTCGGATGAGTTCCGGTCGGTTTTGAACACTCGGATGAGTTCCGGTCGGTTTTGAACACTCGGATGAGTTCCGGTCGGTTTTGAACACTCGGATGAGTTCCGGTCGGTTTTGAACACTCGGATGAGTTCCGGTCGGTTTTGAACACTCGGATGAGTTCCGGTCGGTTTTGAACACTCGGATGAGTTCCGGTCGGTTTTGAACACTCGGATGAGTTCCGGTCGGTTTTGAACACTCGGATGAGTTCCGGTCGGTTTTGAACACTCGGATGAGTTCCGGTCGGTTTTGAACACTCGGATGAGTTCCGGTCGGTTTTGAACACTCGGATGAGTTCCGGTCGGTTTTGAACACTCGGATGAGTTCCGGTCGGTTTTGAACACTCGGATGAGTTCCGGTCGGTTTTGAACACTCGGATGAGTTCCGGTCGGTTTTGAACACTCGGATGAGTTCCGGTCGGTTTTGAACACTCGGATGAGTTCCGGTCGGTTTTGAACACTCGGATGAGTTCCGGTCGGTTTTGAACACTCGGATGAGTTCCGGTCGGTTTTGAACACTCGGATGAGTTCCGGTCGGTTTTGAACACTCGGATGAGTTCCGGTCGGTTTTGAACACTCGGATGAGTTCCGGTCGGTTTTGAACACTCGGATGAGTTCCGGTCGGTTTTGAACACTCGGATGAGTTCCGGTCGGTTTTGAACACTCGGATGAGTTCCGGTCGGTTTTGAACACTCGGATGAGTTCCGGTCGGTTTTGAACACTCGGATGAGTTCCGGTCGGTTTTGAACACTCGGATGAGTTCCGGTCGGTTTTGAACACTCGGATGAGTTCCGGTCGGTTTTGAACACTCGGATGAGTTCCGGTCGGTTTTGAACACTCGGATGAGTTCCGGTCGGTTTTGAACACTCGGATGAGTTCCGGTCGGTTTTGAACACTCGGATGAGTTCCGGTCGGTTTTGAACACTCGGATGAGTTCCGGTCGGTTTTGAACACTCGGATGAGTTCCGGTCGGTTTTGAACACTCGGATGAGTTCCGGTCGGTTTTGAACACTCGGATGAGTTCCGGTCGGTTTTGAACACTCGGATGAGTTCCGGTCGGTTTTGAACACTCGGATGAGTTCCGGTCGGTTTTGAACACTCGGATGAGTTCCGGTCGGTTTTGAACACTCGGATGAGTTCCGGTCGGTTTTGAACACTCGGATGAGTTCCGGTCGGTTTTGAACACTCGGATGAGTTCCGGTCGGTTTTGAACACTCGGATGAGTTCCGGTCGGTTTTGAACACTCGGATGAGTTCCGGTCGGTTTTGAACACTCGGATGAGTTCCGGTCGGTTTTGAACACTCGGATGAGTTCCGGTCGGTTTTGAACACTCGGATGAGTTCCGGTCGGTTTTGAACACTCGGATGAGTTCCGGTCGGTTTTGAACACTCGGATGAGTTCCGGTCGGTTTTGAACACTCGGATGAGTTCCGGTCGGTTTTGAACACTCGGATGAGTTCCGGTCGGTTTTGAACACTCGGATGAGTTCCGGTCGGTTTTGAACACTCGGATGAGTTCCGGTCGGTTTTGAACACTCGGATGAGTTCCGGTCGGTTTTGAACACTCGGATGAGTTCCGGTCGGTTTTGAACACTCGGATGAGTTCCGGTCGGTTTTGAACACTCGGATGAGTTCCGGTCGGTTTTGAACACTCGGATGAGTTCCGGTCGGTTTTGAACACTCGGATGAGTTCCGGTCGGTTTT